GGACAGGGGAACCAGGATGTAACCCTGGTGCAGAAAAGGACTTTTGGAACACATTACCCATGGAGGGATACTCACTTAACCTAGAGACAGGAAAAAATGCCTAGTCCCTACTCCAAATGAGTTTACAGATTTAGATGACCCCTCCTAGAATGCATCACCCTATTGTGGATTGGGGGGTGATGTTAGGGTGGGTGGTTGGGGGGCATGGGAGGGTAGGAAAAAGATAAATAGGGACAGAGAGGGAGGATGGGAGGGAGGGAGGGAAAGGGAACTTGGATCGATAAGTAAAAAAATAAAGGTAATATTTTTTAAAAACCTAAAGAAAAGAAAGACACTGAGGAAGAGGTAAAGTCTGCTCTATTCTATAACTAAACAATTTTTTTTTAAAAAAAGTGGGAGGTCAACAGTATCAAATACCATAATAAATTAAAGTGCAACACAGGAATCTTTTATAAACTTGCAAAAAATTTAGTGACCGCAATAAGCAAATTTCCTTAGTTGCTGTATTCTCTCACTGATGCAATTTTGCCATAGCTTCTCCAGCACTAACTGAAGCTAAATAATCACATTTATAGATGTTAATTTTTGTGAAACATTAAATCCTAGACTCTAATTCAAGTCTTTTGTGTGACTAAATCTAAATGCTGATTAATCTTTCTTCACTTCAGTTACTGAGCTTGCAGCATTTGCTAGTGCTGATAGCAACGATTGCATATGATGATTTAAACTTGTACCATGTAGGTCACAAAATACTTTGCTCTTCAAAATGTGATCCAACTGCAATACAATCTTGTGTGTAAGAACAAGATAATTGGGTTTATGTTGAAACACTTAAATTTAGAGTAATATATAATCTCATGTTTATGGAGATATAATGTTTATCACTTAGTAAAACTAGTCACATACCATGTATTTAATTAACTTGATGTAAATATTTGGATATTTCTATGCTTTTAAAATTAAATTGATTATTATAGTTTTGGCATTATTTTATAAGTAATATAAGTAAATATTTGGCAGGTTTTTTCAAACCATCAGACCCAAATCATGACACAGAGACTAATTATTAGTTATGAATGCTCAACCATAAATCGTTTGTCCCACTATCTTTTATAACTTATTTTAACTTGTTTCTCATTATCTGTATTTTGCCTTTGGGCTTTTTCCCTTTTGTTCTGTATGTCCTACTTTTCCTTCATCACAAACTAGCCAGGAAGTGGTGGTGCACAATTTTAATCCCAGCATGTGGAAAGTAGAGGCAGGTGGATGTCTGCTAGTGTGAGGCCAGCATGGACTACAAAGCACATTTCAGAATAGCCAATGCCGTCACACAGAGAAACCCTCTCTCAAAAATTCTCTCCTATCTCCAAAAGAAAGACAATATTTACAAAATTAACTTTAAAAATGGAAAATATGACAACCTCATAAAAGAATAAGAAAATTATATAATTTTTTTCCTTTTAGTTTCTTCTTGGGGCAAAGTGTGGCATAATTTGTGTTATACAATAAGAACTTACCAAATATTGAAGAAAGAGAAGAACATAGGCCATGACAGGGAGTGACCCTATTCAGTGGAAAAATGACCTAGATGACTGACGTTTGATTTTATAATCAAACAGGTTATAAAAGTAACAATTGAACTCAAAAGTTTTATTGAATTTGTGTATAAAAACAGTGAATCATTTAATTTAGGTAAGTGGAAATCACCTAAAGTAAACCATAGTAAAAATAAAATGCTGAATATTAAGCAAATTACAACAAATATGAAACATTCTTAATTTTAAAAACACAAGTTTTGTTAGATACATAAAGTAGTCTACCTCACTATTCCAAAAGCTTAGAAAATGTCACTAAAAATAACTATGACTTAACAAATATGTGTTTAAAAGCTAATAAAATTCTACGAAAAAAATTAAAATAAGTATAAATAAATGTCATATTAGATCAGAAAAACAATACATTTCAAATACAATTTTCGATTAAAACCAATAGCGTCAAGATGCTAACAAAATTATATCTTCTCTTCACAGATGATTGAAATAAATCTAGAATCATTTATTAAGTAAACTATTGTATGAGTTACTGCAGATAAAATTAGAAATGTAATTCTGATAAATGAAAGTGAGGATAATGCTTTGTCCTCAGAGCTATACTATAAAAAGCATAAGAAAATGTTTTATTCTCCTGATAGGAAATTGAACCTCTTACAAATACAATGACAAACTCTAGAAAAAGAGACAATTTATAGATTTTACTATCAACTACACATCACATTTTTAAATTCTTGATGAAGAAGGACCAAGCAAAGTTATATTCCTGTAATTTCATATAAAGTTCATTATATAGTACAAATATGTTTGGTGACAGAATAACATTCATTAAAGAAGGAAATTGTGAAACTCTTTTACTGACCAAAGGAAATATGTTGCTTAATTTTTAATGTGTCATTAGGTAAAAGGAGTACTATATTTATACAAGTTTGAAATTTCATTACTTAGTTTACTTTTTTCAATAATGTATTTTATATTATGCATATGATTGATTTTCCTGGATGTGTATGTGTGTATCACATGCTTGCCTAGTGTCTAAAGCAGTCAGAAGATGGGATAAATCCCTTGGAACTCAAATTATAGGCAAGTGTTAGTCACCATAAGGTCCTGGTATTGCTTTCAGGTCCTCTAGAAGAACAGAGGTGGGTGCTCTCAAGCACTAAGCTATTTCTTCAGCTTCATTAATTTTAAGTGTAATACTGTTCAACAATTCCATGTATCTATGCAATACATTGCCACCATATTTACTCCGTGTCACTCTTGGTTTTTCTTCTCCCAATCTTTCCTACTCTCTTCTTTCTCTAATCATGTTTTTCTTCTACTTTCAAGTTTGTTTTTATGAATATATTTATTGCCCCATTGAGATAAATTAAGGTTGCATATATGAGCATGTCAAAGGAAACTAGAGCATGAGAAATTCATCAATAGATGCACCACTGAAGAAAGAATAATAATATCCCTTCTCTAGAAACAATAACTGCCAATAGCTCCTCACAGTCCAACATTCCTCAACCTTGTATCAATGGTAGAATGATGAAGGACACACTCTATTTCTTCCTTTTCTACAAGCCCAGTGCAGGGATATGTAGCTTCTCTTTGTTCAGCAACAGCAATACCATATATTGAATAAAATCTTTCACAACACTACTCCTCTATATAGGCTCTTAGATTCTTTTCCTCTCCTTCTTCTAAAATATCCCAAAATCCTCAGAAGGGGTTACAGAGAGCTTGGTGTTGAACATTCAGTAGTCACTTATTTTCAACAGTTGAGTCTCTTCTTTAACAACTGCCCAAGATAAAAAGAAGCTTGTCTTCCACAGCAAAAGAGTAGCATTAGTCTTCAGGTATACCCGTCAATGTCTAAAGGAATGATTGACTGCATGTTCATTTAGCAATACAACATTCATAGATTCCCCTTTAAAGTCTTGAACTGGCTAAACACATGACTGCTTTCAGTCCAGCAACAAGGTTATATTCCCTCTTGTACAACAGATCAGGTCACAGCTCCAACCTGTGACTGGTTATCACAAAATCAGCCATAGTGCATGCATAGTAATTTTCCTAGGGATATGTATTGCCCAGCAGGTTAGTTAAACAAACGATTTTATGTTAGTAAACAACTAAAAGTTTCCTTCTATGTTCTATATTCTGGTATTTGTGTCTGGTATCATAACCTGATAGTTTTTAGTTTAGTTTAGTTTTGTTGTTGTTTGTTTGTTTGTTTTGGTTTTGTTGTTGTTATTATTGTTGTTGTTATTGCATCAGGGTTAGAACAACTAATTTTGCTAGAACAACTAATTTTGCTGGAAAAAAAAGGACTATGGTAGCAAACAGTACTAATAACCCTTGGAACTCCCTGGTCAAATAACTCCAAGGGAGTCATCCCAAACATGCCAATGATTTTGAAAACCTTTGACTACTGGGAGTATCCTTATATGCGAAAGAAGGGCACATCTGTTTAAACACATTTATAATTTTTGTAATTTAAATTTTAAATTAATTTTAGTATTTGCATGCCATGCTTTATATATCTTTAGCTTTGGTTAACCTCCTAACCCTCATATTTCCTATATTCTACAGCATTATCCCTATATATATATATTTCCATTCTTCTGTTTCCCCCAGCAATTTCTTAGAATTTTGTTTTAGTATACCCACCCCATCTCTAAGTCTTTTGCCTTTCTTGATTCATGGCAATCTTCTTGCTTTTTGACATATTTCACTCCAACTTGAACAGATAAAATACTTGAGAAATAAAATGTATGTATAAGATACAAGATATGGCAATTGTCTTTCTGTGCCCAGGTTACCTGGCTCAATAAAATATTTTTCTAGTACCATTCATTTGCCTGTGGTTTATGATATCATTTCTCTTGACAGTTGAAAGATTTCATTTTCTGTTTTGTATGTCTATTCATTTAAAGAAATGAGCTTCAGTGTCTAAAGAAATTCATGATTTCTAAGTATTTCAATTTAAAAGGATCCTGCATTTTAAACTGATTAACTACAATAAAAATAAAGAGATAAAATACTCATTGCCAACAAAGCTGTAAAACACACACACACACACACACACACACACACACACACACACACACAACACCACTTGAATTGTTGTGAAACATTAAGGCCATATAAGCAGAGCTTATTCCTTGCTGGAGAATGAGATTTTGTGGATGCACCCTGAAAATGAGTAGGTAGGTTTCACAAAGTTTAAAAACAAAACTAATTTATGACTCATTTATAGAATTATTTTACATATATCCAAAGGATTCTGTCAATATGCATGCTGTACCACAAATATACTTGCACATGTCTGCTCACAGTAACTAGGAAATGTAACCATGGTTGACAAAACAGTCGATGTTGATTCTTTGCTTTGTTGTGTTGTGAACTCATTGTTCCACGCTTCATGTCCATTGCCTAAAATAGACTCTGTGACTCTTTCAGGCTTGTTCTGAGTTCTGTCTCTGACTATTTCGCTGCCATGTTTACAAGTGATGTTTGTGAAGCCAAGCAAGAAGAGATCAAGATGGAAGGCATAGACCCAAATGCACTCTGGGATCTTGTTCAATTTGCATATACAGGTACAGTAAAATAATTATACATCATATAAATACCATTTTTATTTTGACATTAAGATTTTCAAAACTAAAGAGTAGCTGAACTTTTATCATTAATGTATCACAAACGTATAAAGGCGTTCATTTTTTTTTAATTTTCCTTGCCATATTTATATATGATTAAGCTCATGACTTAAATCACTATTTGATAGAATGAAGTTTAAAAAGAAAAGGAGAATTAATCTCTAAATAAAAATTTGCTCAAAGTTTTCCTTTTCAGAAACATTAGTTAAATTAATTCACATTTTACTTGTGCTAAGCTAATTTACTGTTAAAATTTTTATATAATCTTTCATAGTTCAATGGCAGCTTAGCTGAAAGGGTCAAAATTATAGTGATATTTGGAACAATCACTAGCATTGGGGATTTAGAATATTTTCCTAATTCACTATATTTATTCATTATGTTAGACATTTATGTTATTTAAAACAAAGTATTGTTATGAATTTGTTTTGTTGAATATTGCTCTTGTGCAATTGTGAACTGTACTGAAGGAGAAAAACTTAATAAGTAATCCAATCTTGCCTCCCCAGAAGGTCACGATTTAAGTAAATAAATATGCTAAAAATGGAGACATTATAGGCTTTAAGAGAAATCTGGCACTAGGGAAATATCCAGAAATCTACAAGGATGACCCCACTAACAATCTAAGCAATAGTAGAGAGACTACCTTAAATGCCCTTCCCCGGTAATAAGATTGATGTCTACCTTATAAGTCATCCTAGAGCCTTCATCCAGTAGCTAATGGAAGCAGAAGCAGACACCCACAGCTAGACACTGAGCAGAACTTCTGGAATTCAATTGTAGAGAGGGAGGAGTGATGAGCAAAGGGATCAAGACCAGGCTGGAGAAACCCACAGAACACTGCAGACTGAACAAGTGGGAGCTCATGTACCCCAGTCTGATAACTGGGAAACCAGCATAGGACTGACCCAGACTCCCTGAATGTGGGTGTTAGTTAGGAGGACTAGGGAGTCTATGGGGCCTCTGGTAATGAATCTATATTTACCACTATTATTCAAATCGAAGTTGGGAGCCCATTCCATATAGAGGGATACTCTTTCAACATAGAGACATGGGGGAGAGCCTAGGCTCTGCTTTAGTTGATATAACAGACTTTTAAAACTACCCTTGGAAGGCCACACTCTCCCTGAGGAGCAGAAAGGGGATGAAGTGGGAGTTGATGGGGGAGTAGGTGAGGACTGGAGGGTTGAGAACTGAGATTGACATGTAAAAGAAGCTTGTTTCAAATTCTAATCAAAACATTATTATAAAAAAGTGATATAGTCTTAAATGATATAAAAAAGAAATAAAATACATGAATCTTTGTAATAAGATTTGAAAACAGATTCACCTATAGAATATGAAATCAGACAATTCTGGTTTCAATAATGTTAAGATATGATAAAAACAATGCAAATTTTACACTATAAAAATCTAACTTTTTCTTTAAGCCTATTGTATTAATGAAATTAGTCTTTGACAATCTGAGCTCAACCTGACTAAGAGAACAGGCCTCTAAGCCCTGAGATGAGGGAGATAGTACACTGATATCTTATTCTTTCTATTTGGTTTGAGAAGAAAAATCAACTTCGCATATCTTTTTTTGTGGAAGTTTGTCTCGATACTTACTAACTTCCCTGAAGCTTGTCACCAAGAAAAATTCTCGTGGAATATAAAATTGACATAAAAGCTTTTGAAAATACAGCTCCAAGAAACTGAAAAAAACAAAACAAAACAAAAAAGCACTATACACATTTCTATTCTATATCCACTGAAGTTAATGTTCTTAGGAAAATCAAGGTCTGGAAACATGGAAAACCTATCTTGATTTTTCTCAAATGGAGGGGCTATAAAGAACTTCATAATTTAATTACAACTTGCTTATATCTGTGAATTAGCAGTCATATAAGTGGAGAATGGACAGGGAGTAAATCACAAGACCACATCAAACTCCCAGGAACTTCTGGCTCCTAGTGGATTCTGGGGGAATTGTCTTTACTTTCATAATGACAGATGATCCCATTGGCTCAACTGGATACCTCACAGAACTATTATCACAAATATGATCCATATTAAAATAATTTGGTTACAAAGAAGAAAGGATATGAGAAGAGTCTTAAAAAGAGGAAGGAGGCTTAATATTTAAAGGAAGAACATCGGTATTAGGCAGCCAGAATGTATTATATAAATGCATGAAAATTTAAGAGAAAGAAACCAATAAATGTTATATTGTAATTCATATTTTTATTTTCTAGATTGGAGGAGGGGTCATGTAGCTTATCTTTTAGGTAACCTTCCAGGACCGAAAAAAAGCAAAATGATCATATGAATTTTCATTCTCTGGCAACCTTATCTTTGTTTAGAGCAAAACTAGGTCAAAAGATGCTCGCTATCATGTTACACAATGTTAGATGGTATTTCAAAGCTTCATGCCAAGAGTAATGACCCAGATATGTCTCTGTTTTCAGAGGGCAGTAAGGATATACAGCTGACTAATAGCTGTGCTGACACTATGTCCTATCCACCTGAACTAATTTGTGTTATGGCCTTTGCTCCTTAACATATTTGTGTCATGGGATAGACATCCTACCAGTTGTGCATTTATATAAATTTTCTAGATGAACAATGAATTTATAGAGTGATATGACATAAACTGTAGAAATAATCTAAAATGTGTACTTGGCTTTGTCACATGAAGTGTAAAATATATAACAATGGAAAAAGGAAAGTGATCATCTCCACAAATAGGAAAGAATACTTGATACCTTTAATTAGCAGATCATCCCATGATCAGGAAGACAACTTGGAAAAGATCAAAAAAGAAAGAAAGAAAGAAAGAAAGAAAGCATCCCAAAAGTGAATGAGGAAGTAGGAAAGCAAAACATAAATCATTTGGGAATCATTTCTTCAACTTTTTCCCCCTGTTACCACAGGGGTCTTCAGCTGGGTCATTTCCTTGACAATTAAAGAATTAAAAGACACACAAAATGTGGAGCATGACAGGTAGCAGTAGCAAAACAGTTAATAGGAACAAACAGATACAGTTCTTGAAGGAACGCTTTGATTTGGGGTGAGGAAACATACAGAACAAAACAGACATCAAGACCTCCATAGTGCAGGAAGGGTACCCTAATTTAGAGGGTGGTCTGTTTAAAGAGATTGAGGATGCCAATATGGCACACAACTATTGTGTAAGGTCATAATCAGGCCTTGAACTTATTGAGCCTCTCTATCTGCAGAGGCCTTCGTGACAACCACAACACTTTGTTTTTAGCTTTCAGACTTTTGTCTCATGTCCAGATTGTGAAGGGGGAGCCTGCTAACTTGAAGTTCACACTCTTTGTTATCCAGTCATGGCCCCCCTCCCTGTCAGCCCTAATCATCTACTCCTGATTTGGTAGTGCTAGACTATAAATCATCTTCTTGGGTTTGCATTAAACTATTTCTCTTTGCCACCTCCACAGCTGAGACTATTTTCTTCATGATTCTTGTGGTCAATTCTTTGGAGAAACAAGAGGATAATGTATGTTAAGTCTTCATAGTTACTAGTTGTGGAAGTAACATATTCAGTACAGTTGAAACAGGGTTTATTAAAGTAATATTAATCAATAAAATTTTATATGATGTCTAGAACATCCACAATTAAAAAAAAATAAATTGGTCACATAAGTAACTAATTAAACCAACTTAGAAAATGTAGTCATATGTAATTGTGGCATTTGAGAACGTTAGAGGAGGAAAAGCCATCTTCCAAGGTAGTGTTTATATGATAAAAGATGAAGCATTTCTAAGTGTTGGGAAAACCTTCACTACATCCTTCCTTCCAAAATTATGATGGAAAAGGAGAAAGAACTGAATCAAATATTAGAAAAAGTCAAAAAAGAAGTAAATAAGAAAAAAATGATATATTTTCTAGCTGCTATGATCCAATATTATCAGTAATGTTACTGTTACCAGCTCCAACAAATTGAGCTACTTTAGGGAATGACAGATAAAAATGAAAACCTTAATAGTTTACAACATTATTTTGCAGAAAGCTTGTTATCAATTTTGTTTGTAAAAGAAGTGGTTGTCTGTAAAATGGTAATTTAAGTAAGAAAATGACAATTACTTTTCTTGTTATTGGAAAACACCATACACTCCTGTTCTCATAGGTCCTACTATCCTAGATATGTTTAAAGAAATTTTATATTCATTATAACACCAATTTTAGTTATAATGTTAATAACATTATATTGATTAGGCAAATGAGGACTTGTAAAATATCTTCTTAAAATTACTCCATTTAATTTTATTTTCAATTCATGTCTTGAAATTCTGCTTGTGATATTGGTGATTTTTAGTTAGTAAAAGCATATACAAACAAGAATAATTATCCTTTTCCCCCTTTCTCTTATCATTTTATGACATTTTTATCAAAAATAGGTTATTTTTCAGTTTGCTCTGATTATGTTTTCCCAAATCCAAATTCTTCCATGACCATCATCATTCCCCCATCCAAATAAAATAATACCCTCACCTTATTTTATTAGAATAAAAATAGCTTGAAAAAATAATGATAATAATAACAAAATATAATAAGAGCAAACATCTCACAATGTAACAAAACAAACAAAAGCACCAAAGGCAAAGCACAAAGACTCATAAAGTCACTGGGACATACATATGCAGACCCAGAACACTGATATCAACAAGCAAAAGATCTTTTAAGGGAAAAAATAAAGTATCGTGAGACAAAAAGCCTCCAAAATTACATTTGAGTTCGTTGATTTAGTTTTAGCCCTCTGCTCATGGATGTGGGCCTGTCCTTAGGTGTAGTTTGTATACCTAGTAAAACTCCATTTGGAGAACTCCAATTAGAGAAAATAAATTTTGCCATTGAGTGCGATTTTCAATTAGCAATAGTTTCTAGGTTAGGTCTGGATTTCTGTTTGCTTTCCTTCAGTTCTTGAATCCTATCC